CAGAACTCTCCCCTGGATTAGCAAACCCTTTTGAACTGTTCAGGCTTTCACAACTGAAATGCCAGACTGGATAAAAATACGCAAGTTATGCCGAATATGTCATGCGAAGTGGCGTGATTGCGGCGTTGCCCCGAAAATTTCATCGCACATCCAGCATAATTTTGCATGCGTCAAATTCAGCGCATGGTGGCAGCTGAATTTTTAGGCGCAGGGTGACCGCATGGCGCATAATGTTTATGCAAATGGCTGTCACCGAATTTTTTGACACGCTGTGGTCAATCTAGCAGCAGACTTGCCCTGCGGGCGCTGGCAGGTCTGAAGAGAGTCGGAACTTCCGGCCTGGGCCTTGTTTCACCTTAAGATTCTACAGTGTGCCACACAAATTGTGGTATTGGGTTTTCATGGGAACATTAACTACCGTAAAACGGGGTGTTAAGGGACAGTTTTGAGGTGTTTTGTTATATAACGCAAGAAGGGTTGGAGATAGAAGCATCAAATTGTCAGCATTTTATGTGGAATTTGGTGCTTTACATGCCTGCGACATTAAAGTTTTTAAGATTTATACCTGCATATTATTTTTTGCTATTTTTCATCACTGTCCCTTGGCACCCCAATGTGGGGTGTTAAGGGACACCTATATTATTCCAAGAAATGGTCATCAAATGCCCACAATTGGGGTGTGGAAGGGCACACAATTTATTTATTGAAATGTTTTGCATATTCTGTCACAAAACAAGTCAGGTTCATTCACCACTAATGACCTTTTTAGCCAATTACGTGTAATGCAGATTACGCTTGTGGAAAATGTGCTAATTATAAGGTAAACAGAACCAAAAAGTAATCTTCTGTCATCAATAAAAACCCATGTTGAAGCTTGTCACTTGTGATTATGTTGCCCTCTTGGTTTTAGCCTTTTTATGATGACATCACATTTACTTACATCAGTCTCCATTGACCCATCATTGTAAAAGAGAGTGTTGAGATGTTTTGTTACATAACTTAAGATGTGTTAGAGATAAAGGCATGAACTTGCCAGCATTTTATGTGGCATTTGGTGTTTTCCATGCCTACTTAATTAAATTAAATTAAGATATTATTTTTTATTTTTTATTCCCTGTTCCTTAGCACCCCACATCCACCTCAAAATATGCATGTATCCGGAAAAGAGGAAGAGGATGATGAATGAATGGGTGGATTTGCACAAGTTTTTCAGGAAACATGTGCAATACATGTGACAATACACCTATGCATTCATTTTCCCTGTACACCCACTAGTTTATGTGGTACACACAGAGTTTTGGAGATGTTTCAATTTTGTGAAAATGTAGCATGATTTTCAAATCCATTTTTGAACCAAATCACTTGCATGAAAAACCATACCATTTTCTCCTATGGTCAAGAGCAAAACAGTGTCAACTACCACACTGAAGTTTTTATTGAACCTTCTCAAATTAGGAAGTTAATATGACTCAAAGTTTTTCCCATGCAACTGTCCCTTAACACCCCACTGTCCCTTAACACCCCATTTTACGGTAATTCAGACGCTCAGAAAGGGAAGAGCGTCTGACTCCGAGGCCCCGGAACGATCTGTCTGGTTGATATAGCCTTGGTCGGTAGATATGCACATGTGCTTTATGTAAAAGTGGCTTAATTTTGGTGCAAACAGGCACCCAACTTTCAGTGGAAATCATGCACTGGAATTTCAGCTCAAAATTGCTTGCTTCAAATTTTGGCGCATGAGGGGCTCACGGGTATCCGGCGTAGTGTATGGATGTTTTCCAGTCTGGCTGAAAGGCAGAACTCAGACACATTTATCCAGCCCTTCAAATCCCATTTCCTGGTTGTGGTAACACCTACCTTTCCATGGGGGTTTGGTTCATCTCTTGTCTACACAGTTTTCTTTCACTTATGTGCTGACAAGAAAAGGAAACTCACCAGAGCCCAGTTTCACCAAGTGCGGTAAACTCAATTTGGGGTAAACTACCAAACTACCCCACTACTTAACTACAAAAACTACCCCAAAATTAAGTTTACCGCACTTGGTGAAACTGGGCTCAGTGGAGCTATTCAGCTTAATACACAGAGTATGTGTTGCATGGACTAAGCATGTGTTGACCCTTTTTTACTTTTAGGTTCCCGCTAAAAAAAGAAGTACAGAGAAAAGTGGATGAGGGTGTGTGGCATGACCAATGAGCCAAGACCACATGACCACTTAAACTTAACAAGAAGTGCGCACCATGATAAGCACAGTCAAAAACGTTTGCGTCTAAAGAACAGTGCTGTGCCGGATCAGAATGTAAGTTATTTTTTAAAGTGATGAAAATGCCTGCAAAGTTATCAAAAGACTTTGAATATTGTTTTTGTAACACTTCACTCTAAAGTTATTCCTAGTACCAGACATTACAGCTTTAGTGCAGAGTCTTTATTTGTGATATTTTTAGCCAAAAATTATTACTAGTACCGAGCCCTTACAGCTTTACAGCCCTAGTACCTTGCCCTTATTTTTTATATTTTTTAGCCATTTCAACCTAACCGAATATCTGTATGTTTGTATGTTATTGTTTTGATCTGTATTTTATGCTACCTCCCTATAGGTAAGTTTTATTAAAACATGTGGTAACGGTGTGCTGATTTTTTTACAGATTCCGTATACGCCTTGGGTTGCTGTCGCTGCTCGGTCACCCACAGATGAAAGTGATCAAGAAATGGACATCACTCAGGTAAGATTCAAGCGTCCTTTATTTTACACATAATACACTAAGCAGTAGCACCCTAACCGCAACATATGGGAATGCATTGCCTGGTGGGTGCCTACTGCCTACCTGTATGCCAAGTTTCAGCTAAATCGCCCCAGTAATTACAGAGTTATTGAAATGGGAACAAATTCGGCACCTCTTCTTTTTGCATTTTGCACGTGCAGTGGGGGTCACTCACATAGATCAAGAGCATCCGACCTTTGGTTGAAGGGGTGCAGCTACCCTACAAAATTTACCGCAAGACCGCCCAAGCGGCTGCTGAGATGAGCCTCTCAAAATCACTTCTTTTGCAACTTTTGACAAATAACACCCTTGACTTTTCACGTGGCACGTGCCACGACGGTCCCTGTAATGTATCAAGAGTAGTCAATTACGGGGTAGAGGGAATAGGGCTAGCCAACAAAAAAAAAAGACCGCAGGCCAATCGGTCCAGCGGTTGCTGAGATATAAGCCTCTCAAAAGCGTTACAGGCCGGGCCGGGTCGGGCCGCTCATACTGAGCTTTTTCCGTGATATTGAAAAGACTTCGCTTCGCTCACTCGCTCGTAATTAACAATTCATGGTTGACTATATGGATTAAGCTAAGTGATTGCGCTCTATTAGCACACTATCTAAGTAGCCCTTAATTGCTGCCGGTGCGTGGACTGTGAAAGTGAGCCGAGCTGTGACGCAAACCGTGCGCCTTTTTCAGGTGTGGGATCACTCGTGGAAGTTCACGGCGGATACGGAGCCGTGCATGCAGCTCTGGTTCGATCCTGCTCAGGGAAGCCCCAATGACGCCGTGGCGCGCATCTGGGCTGAGCGGGTGGTGGCGGCCGGTGCGCGGGCGCTGCCGCGTGGCTGGTGGCCGCGGCCCTGGCGGCAGCGGCCCGCTCCTGACCTGGTCGCCCTGTGCCGAGCACAGAGCGCCGACTGAGGTCAGTCTTGTGATCGAGCTTCCGCGCCGGAGGTGGAACAGGTGGAGCTGGCGGTCACCTGCGCGGGCTCGGCGGCCTGTAAGCCGTGCCGAGACGAACCGCGACACTCTTGCTAGATCTGCACCCCATTGTAATCTTCTGTAGTCGATATTCGGTAGGTACTCAATGCTCATTTTTCTGATATTAGACGAGTGGCGGGTTTTGATGTTACATTGGAGACTGCTGTCTCGGGTGGCCCGACAGTGTTCGATTGTGGTGTAATGTAGATACATAGACGGGATGCCGCGGCTCGGATTCGTAGCTGGACTACCATGTGCCTGTCGATTGAGATGCTTTGCCTGGCGATTGAGATGATTCGGGGCGCGGCCCCACACTGACGCCATGGTGCAATGAGTGATTGGCGACAACTAAGCAATTATGTACTTTTGTAGAACACATGTTTTCATGGATACGAGAGGCAGTCCTTTTTTCGCTAGCAGTCATTTGGTTCACGATACTTTCGATACCGACAAATATGTTCGGGCGGCCGGTCCGTCCACAGCTAATGCGTGCTTGCCCGCCGATGCCTAACGGAGCGCTGTGCTGTCTACGCTCACTGGTCGCTGGCCCGAGAGCCGTTCGGTTGCTGCTGTTAAAACAGTTCTCACAAAAACACGCTGGCTGGCTGCCAGTTCTTCACCAATGAGAGGCCCAGTAGCATCAGCAGGTAGCATTGTTTAATATTACTATTCCATTTTGTTTACCCATATGTCCGACCTAGAGCCGACTGGTAAAAAGCGGCAACCGAGCAGCCCTCCGCAGCGCTGCAGATCATGTACGCTCGATTATACACAATATATGTGTCTTTCTTGCACACAGAGACATGACGTTTTGTAGAGCTTTTATATCGCTTGTGGCTGAAAGGAATATTGTACATTTTAGAGCTTTCATATACGCGAGAAAATATGGTGCAAAAAACATTTATGAAGCCTGTTGAATTTTAAAGGTTGTTGGGGCATTTCACAGACTGTGTCGGTGGGCAGGGCAGCCCGGCCCCGGCCGCCGCCGCCGCCGCCTCCTTCACTGGTATGTGGCAGGGACGGAAGCTTCGTATTGATATACCGGGGTGCAACTCAAGCAGCATATCACCTATCAAACAACCTTCGGTTATGAAGTGAATGAAAACTAAATATTATGTATAACTGTGATCTGCGCTGCGGTGTTTCCAAAGTGGAGGAAGTACGGGGAGCTGGACCCGGACTCGATGAGCCCTCTACTACGGATCTGGGTCTTCGCAGCTGATCGTCTGTGAATGAGAGATCATATGATACCATTGCATACCGAACGGATCAAAAACAGTGCCATTATATATTTGCAATTCTACAGCTTTACGTAAGCCCATCCTAGTGAATGCATTAATACGCGTTGATTTGACAACTGACATCCGGTTGAAGGCGTTTTTTTTCGGCCAACAGCCGGCCAGCAGTTGTTGCAGGCCGGCCTCGTTGGGAAGCAGGTTCATTTTCCGACAGCCACTGCGTGCGGAAGCACTCTCTGATGGCGCGGACGGCGTAACAGTAGGCCCGAGTGGTGGCAGAGTCGAGCGTCGCGGCGCGGCAGAGCGCGCGGCGCGGCCGCCGTCTGTTCCAGCTCGGCGTCGGCGCGCCCCTCGGCGAACAGCAGGTGCAGCTGACGGTCGGCCAGGCAGAAGCCGCTGATGCCAGGTGTGCTGACGTCGCCGGGCCGGCGCGGCGCGGCGCCCTCGGCCGCCGCCGGGCTGGGCGGCTCGTTGAGCTGCTGGATGAGCTGCAGCACGCCGCTGCGCTGCAGGCCGCGCTGCGAGACGACGGCCAGCAGGCGGCCGTAGGCGCAGCGCGCCGGCGCCGGCCGCGGCAGCAGGTCCAGCGGCACGGCCAGCGACACGGAGACGGACAGCTGCGCCGCCGACTGCAGCAGCTGCAGCGGCCCGAACGGCGGCGGACACGTGCCGCGCTCAATGTCGGCCGCCGGAGAGGCAGCCGGTCCGGCCGGCACCGCTGTCAGCGGCACCTCCACACTGAGCAGACGCACGCCGCGCGTCAGGGCAGAGACGTCCACCACCACCTGCCGCGCACACAGAGGGCCGACAGTGGTGACAGCGCGCGGCGGGTCAGACCTCACAGTGGGGATAGCGGCAGCGGGTCAGACACCCTTATAGAACAGCACGGGGCGGAGCCGACAAAAGAGGACGAGGAGACGGTCATACAGCCGACTGAGGTCCGGGCACCGACTGACTCAAAGTGCTGAACATGTCACACATTTCTAAATGGCTTCTGTAGGACGGAATAGTGTCTCTTCCTTCCAAGGCTTACTTGCAGAATAATATGGAGACACAATTTTACAAGTTGTGTTTTTATGACATAAGTTCTTTATAACATTTCAACACGCAAACATCATACCTTGACAATTGTTCACGATGAAGATCATGCAGGAACATTTCATATTTAGTCACCCTTGATTATTTTGTTGATAGTGATGCGAAAGGCAAATTACCAAAGTATATATTTGCAATTATTTGAGTTAATAATTTCAACTTTTTTTGTGTTGAAAATTGACTTTTGAAACAATAAAGGCAAATGAATTATCAGTGTCTGGAAAGGTGCAATGCTGAAAGCTTCTTATTACATTCTAATTTATATCTAAAGCTTTGTGATATCCAAACTCTCAGAAATAACCAGGGACGTAACCAAGGAGGGGGGAGGGGCACGGGAGCCATGCCCTCGTGCCCCTTCCCCCCTCGGTGATGGCGATTTTTTTTTAAAATAAAAATCAGCTGTGACACACCCCCAAAATAGTGGGCCTAATCAGAGAAATTTTCCTTTTTTGGAGGGGGTACAACACTAGGCCACAACCTGTGACCCCCCCCCCCCCCCCCCTGAGCAAAATCCTGGCTACGTGCCTGGAAATAACAAAGCACATCCTATCCTTTGATGTTGGACGCAAGAGCCAAGTTGCTACGCGCCCTAACCCATAACAACAACAACATCCTATCCTTTGATGCCACTTACCAGCAGCTTTGCGCACTACCAAACAGCCACCTTTGGGCCTTTGTTGTTCTTGTTTTGGGCATTGTCAGTGGTAACTGGAAATAATCAGACATGATGGTCAGAGAAGGAATGTGACTACAACAAAAATCATTTCATTCCTATAAAATAGACATGATTTAATAGAAGACCTTCTTCTTAAGAAAGTGTGTCATGGATACCAGCTAATCTGTATGGTATTTATCTCCAGTATTATCATATAGGTATAACAATTATCACCACCCGCCACCATTGAATGTAGGTTTTAGGTTGTAGGTTGTAGGTGGTAGGTTGGGTATCGGTAAAGCTGGTGTCACCGTCAGCGCTAACCGGTAAATGTGTAGATAAAAGGAATCTTAAAAACAATCTAACCTAACCTAACCTTACCTACTGATCTGCAACCTACCTACCCACAACCTACCAAACTAATATACGCTGACAGTGATGCCAGCTTTACCAATGCCGTACGTTGTAGGTTGTAGGTAAGGCTAGGTCAGGTAAGATTATGTTTCATTATATATTTACTGAGAAGACGGCTGAATGCTCTTGAGACGTGGCTATACATTTACATTTTGTAAGTAATTTTCAGGTTTCAATGAATATTTCCTAGTGGAATGTTTTGAAAACCATTCTAAATGATGACCTTTAGCATTCCATAGTACTTTAAAGCTAATTAACCACATCGCCAATGCTAGGTCACATTGCATGCCTACTTCCACCGGCAGCTCCATGGGATATATGATAGGCAGGGGTAAATGGAATATTTTTTATTAATATTCTTGAAGAAAATTATAGGCATGAAAAGAAGATGATCTGCCTTTGAGATTGATATGTGATGCCTACTTTGGAGGAACATCATCATCATAATAATTACACAATCATAAAAAATGCAATGTAACCAAACAGCCGCTTATGCCGCAAAATGAGAATCAAGCCAATCACGGAGGACAAACAATTTCAAACCACCAAAACTATATTCTTGCTATTCACCAATAATCCTAAAATAGCGTTCCATGGCCATTATATCCATCTTTCACCCTTACCTTCGACAGATAACTAGCGCCACGGGCAGACACACGGGGCGACAAGTTGTTTACAACCGCTACAGTCCGACGAGTCTATCCTCCTCAAGGCTGATTGGCTTGAGTGTGACGTCATTGCTATGACATCATACAGTAGCTGCGGTAGAGAGTATAAACATAGTACCAATATGTTAAATAGTTGGAAATACTTTTTAGCGAATTATGCTTTTCTGGCACCGGTTTTGAAAAGAAAATGGAAAATAATAATGTCAAAATAAAAACCAACGATATCTTCATATTTCAAGAAGGTGGCCCTTTTCCTTTAAAGTTCGCTACATCGGCATCGGCGTAAGTACGTACATACCTACATCTGTCCAGGGGGGCGACACGGCTATTCGCGCAATGTATTCAGTTATGAGCCGCGCGGGGCCTCGCGATGACGCGGCTGGAGGCAACTGCTCAGCGCGCTAGGATACTTCTGGCGGGGCCGGGCGCTGAACGGTGTACAATGAATGGGTTATGGGCGGGAAGACATAGATGAGGTATTGAATTTGAATTGACATCAGCAATCGGGTGGGGAGGGAGAACGTGTCTAATCGAGCTTGGGATGGGGAAAGCCGAAAAAAATGTCACGATCGGCTCAGAGTTCCGACAGGGCCGGGTGCCGTACCATGTGTAGTATATTTAGGCGGGCAGACAGAGATGAGTTAGTGGATTTGAATTTGCCTTACCATCGGTTTCTGGTGGGGTTTGAAGACGTTAACACGTTTAGTAAAGCTCGGGGTGGGGCAGCCCACTGGCGGATCCAGGGGAAGGCATTTGGGGCCAATGTCTTCCCCCACAACCGCTGCAGCGCCCGAAATCGCTTTTCGAGAATAAAAGAAAACTTCTCAACTTTTCTGAGGAAATGTTGGTTAATCACACTGCACAGCAGTGCGCAAGGAATCGAAATCAGAGTTTTTAAAATTATTTCGGAGAAACCTTTTTGGGGTTACCCCCCGCTGTGTCCAAGACCGCTTCATGGATCCGCCATGTTGTGACAAAGTCACAGTCGATACCGAGCTTCGGCGGGACCAGGCGCTGTATACGTTGTACCTACCTTCAATGAAGAGGCGGACAGACGCCTGACCCCACATCCTACTGCTATACCCGTGCTTCTGTGGGTGAAGCACTGAAGCATCACGGAACCCCACAGGACCTGCGAGTCGACGAGGTGGCCGCTTTGGCCGCCGGGTACTGCAGCTCCGTGGAGTTGCCTGGGACCGATGGTAAAACAACAGCTCCGGCGGTGCCCGCCCCTATGGGCCGTAGTAATTAGTGAATTCCCGTAATGTAGAGATCATATCCTCTTGATCTCCATTACGATTTTATATTCCTGGCAGACAATATGGCAGACCAATTATGCTTCCCTACGTCCAGGCATTACCTCTGATGTTTATACGCCCAGTACAACATGTGTTGTTGTCAAACAACAATCGACGACGGAATCCCATCATCTCTTAAACCATCGGCTGTCAATTCACCCACCCCGTTTCCCTAAAAATAGAGATCAGATTCGGCCTGGGTCCTTACGACCCCTCTAGACTCGCCAAAGACGGGATCGGGTCGCCGTTATTGCACTCGTCTTAGTGTCTTTAGATACATAGACAGCTTCGACCGTACGGACGTTGGACGGGGTGATCGTTCTACGAATGTACGCACCATCCAGGCCTAGGATGCATCGAGGTTTATAAGAATGCAGTCTGTAGATCAATCAGCATAACAATGGTGGTATGCAACCACATTAAAATATCTCCCCGGCTCCCGTACCGTTCCAACGCCCTTCCGTTATGCATTCGACCGACGTGTCCGCCGAGCCAGCTTGCCTCCAATGACGTCATTGGCCGGCCGGCGGCGTTCAAGGTCAAACGGCTGGTGTCCTTACCTGGAGTTCTATAGCCTTGCATCTGTCCAACATCTGCCCACGGAGATGGCCCACGCTGGAGGCGACATCTAGCGGTCGAAGTAACGGAGCGTTGCGGTACAGCATGTTTCAGGCGTCCGACTGCAGAGCCATCTAGGGACTGGAACGGAAATCACCGAGCTCAGCGGCACAGCATGTTCCAGGCGTTGCCTCTAGCGGCATCTGTTGATTAGTATGGGTACTAAAGCACCTGATTAGCAATTTGCTGAACTTGACATGTCCCTGGTATATTTATACGGCAATACAACCCGGAAGCTAACTCAATTACTGTAGCACATGCATGACGGTCAACTCCAATTCGAAAAAAAATAATCAAATATTGTTATTGAAGACACGCTAGTCAGCCGTGAGACATGTTTCCCGTGGGCGCTGTTGTCACGAAGTGTACGCCTGACGTTGCCACCAACACACTTCATTCAGCCTTTGAGAGTTCTTTATCGTATGCAAAAGAGCACAACACTAGGCCTGTGTGAAACGGGCCATCTGTGACAAATGAATGGACAATTACTGCACGTGGTCCGCGGTGCCACAATAGCGGTCATCACATGTCACTGGCCGAGTGCAGCGGCGGCCAACGAGTGCCTGAGTACGCGCCGTTCGCTCACGCAGGCCGTGCCACCCACCAATTAGTCCAACTGAGTGTACTCGCGGAGGCCACCTCCCATTCAGCGCTCGGACAATACACTGTCGTCTCGACTCGCCGCACGCACTCCTCGGCACGTGTGGCCTCCCACGGCCCCGGGCACCTCTCGCTGAGCCAAAGGCCGCGCCGCTCAGTGGGGCCGTGACCGGCGCCGACCCAGCTGTCACCCTGGAGCCGGACCGACAGCCTGTCGCACGGCGTCGACAGCTGCAGTCGCCGACGGCAGGCGACCGCTGGCAGCCGCCGCTATTTGGAGAGACACTGAGCGCCGGTGCTGACGGCCGTCGGTCGGGCGATAGGTAACGGACACGACGGAGGCGAAACGACGCCAAAAACTCCGTCAAGCACCTCGCCGGAAGATATCAATCAGAGACAACCAGCCAGTCAGCTATCAGCCTTACGGTCTTCTGTTTCGGGTTCAACTGTCTTCGTTCGCTACCGTTGGCAGCAACAGCTTTGGATAAGTTATTCGTGCACTTAATAATTTAATCGTTGAAATCACACCAAACCGAAATGAAACAGCATTAGCATACCGTTTCTGAGCCGGTTTCTCCGCTCCGTCCACCCGAGTACCGCACCATGGAAGACTCTAGCAGCGCCCTACGCACCGTGTTCTACGCCTGCATGCTGACCGTGTGTGCCATTGTCTGCGTAGTGCAGTGCGTCAACCAGCTCAAGCTCTACTGGAGCGAGCCGGCCGCGATGACCGTCACCATCCAGCAGGACGTCATGTTCCCCGCCTTCACCGTGTGCTCATCGCGAGAGTTCAGCCGCCGGAGGGTGGAAGAACTCGGTCTGCTCAACCGGCGCGGAACCGATGTCGACTGGAAGAAGTTTCCGTCCAACGCCAGTGTGGAGACCTTCTGGCGAGAGGCCGGCACGCAGCGTCAGGAGCTGATCGCGAGCTGTAACCGCGGCGCCTGCTCCGGAGACGCCAGCGGCGAGGCGCCCGCCGGTAGATGGACGCCGCTGATGGCCAGAAACGGCATGTGCTACACCTTCGTGGCCAACCAGACGTTGGTGATGAAGAACGAGGAAAAGCTAGACATCACCTTTTATCTCTACACCAGAGATTACTTCAACAAAAAGGACAAGTACTTTGTAGACGTGTACTTCCACGGCAGCGAGCCCCCGATCGTGCAGGCTCGCTATTTCAACACGCCCAACCACCCCAAGGTGAAGGTGCAGGCCGGAGACATCACCACCGCAGAGGTTACCGGAAAGGTGGCCGTCTTCAAGTCGCTCACAAGGCGCTACTGCGATACGAGCAAAGGGTGAGTGGGGTATTTTGTGCCGGGAGAGTTACCGCTATGTCAAATGCCCATGGTAAAAAGATTAATACGATAAGACCGTGTGTATGTAGGAACTAGGAAGCGGGAACATATCATGACATCCAATACGTAACATTTGTTCATGTTGTCTTAGCAAGAAGATAAAATACCAATTTGAAACAAACTGCAGAGCAAGGCGATTAGGATCGTCCCAATCGCGTATTAGCACCTAATCGCGACAACTCGCTTATCATTGCGACACCGCCAAAACCATACCTCACCGAGCACCATTCCCGGTTTCAGGTATACACAGGACAAATGCTACGAGAAGTGCATGTGGGCTCACGAGTCCCAACTGATCGGCTGCCGCGCCCCGTGGATGGTCGGCCTGGCCCATCCTCTGCCGCTCTGCAACACGAGCAAACAGTTTTACGAGATGCAGAGTCCTCCGGCTATCCCCCGCGGCTCGGTCTCCTGTCCGCACTGCCCGCCGTCCTGCAGTCACGAGCGGTACTCCGTACAGGTGAGCCGGAGTCAAAACACCAGTCGGTGCCACATTTGGCTCCCAGGTCTCATACTGTTGCATTTAAGTCAGAAATGCTCAGCAAACAGCTTCGTCTAGCTCTCTGCAACCGGAACCGCAAGTTGTTTGGAATAGACAAACATTATTCATTAAAATTGTGTTTTTCTCTTGTAAATAATAAAGCTCTTTGTCTTTGTACTGCGGCAATGTTTGTGGCTACTTCTATTTCTGAGCTCTACCTAAATCATAGTGCAAAGTTACTGATTCATCCCTGATTAATATTCGACCTCCACCCGCCCCGACCGTCCTCCCTCAGGTGACAACCACAATGAACGCCGCTGGCATGGCTCGCTCGGGCATTGCCAAGCTGATGGCGGTGTGGCCGTATCAGCAGGAACTCTCCACCGAGGAAAAGACCTACGGCCTCAGCGGCCTCATCTCGGACGTGGGCGGCAACATGAGCCTGCTGCTCGGCGTCTCCGTCATCAGCATCGCCCAGTTGATGGAGATGATGCTGCGTGCGATACGCTCCTGGCTGCACGGCCGTCTGAAGCACGCCCGCTCCCGCGCCCGCGGCGTGGCGCCCTCCGCCCTCCCCACCCCGGTCGACCACTACATCTACACACCGCCGAGCAAGAACCTGACGCTGCCGTCAGCGGATATCAGCGGCGCTGCTGGCACGCCGCCGCCTGCGCAGTATCAGTCACCGCCGGCGTCCATGAAGGAGTCGGGTATGCCGCGGGTGATCAGCGGCAGGCTCCGGCCGCCCTGGTCCGCCCACAC